CAAAAAAAGTTGCCAGAATAAATTCTGATGAAACTTGGTAGGTTTATTTTGCGTATTAAAAGTCATCTTCTATCGACTGGAATAAGGTGCACACTCTCTGTGATAAGAGATATCTCAAAATGTTACGGTGTTGCTATGGATAATAATCGGCATGTTGGCCGACTTTGTCGAGTTATATTTCCTTCATTTCACTTTGATTCTGGGTAAATCTCACACTTACAGACGCGTGATAAACTCTGCTACCGTGTCTTAATTTTTCATAAGCACCAACAGAGGTAATAAAGTACAATTCTTTCATTTCCGCGTTGGTTGCGAAATTTACAAAATTTCAACCGCGACGTCATCTCAGCGCACGCACTCCGTTCTGAATATCTTCCTACGCGCAGCCAGTTGCCATATGACTGGACTTTGTCTTGGTGGCGCGAGGTAATAACTAAACAATTCCATGTTTTCCCATATTCTTTATTATCGCTTTCTAACTACGCTATCTACAGTTTGTTCCTCATCGTTCAACCTCTTACATCGTTCTCCCCGTCTACATTACATTCTTCGCTTAAGTACAATAAGGCCGTGTCAATCAACTAAAGTGACACTACAAAACACTCCCCGCTCTTATTCGCTGCATGCTGTCACTTACTAACGTTACATACCTAAGGGTGAAACATATTTTTTCCTCTGAGTCCAAAACATCAATGGAAAAAATACGAAGACAGACTGATGATTCGAAGTAAAATAAGCATTTTTGGTGACGAAACAAGAACATGTATTAATTAAGATCAGTGATAATGTTGATGTCATAGCCGTCACACATTGCTGGAGGAAGCATCACATCTATATGAAATATAGAATGATGATGTTACCCCCCAAACTACAGTGCAATCAAATATGAAGGAAAACATGGCCAAATAACAGGGAAAATAATATCAATTTATTTTAGCATCATATTAATAATAATAATTCAAACATTGCACCACCACAATTGCACATTCTGTGGAAAAGTTTAAAGTTTCCACAGCATTGATATTGTAAATTCTGGTTATCCATGGACACATTTCATCATAAACATCTTATCAATTCTGGTTCTCTCCATCCATCTCTAAAATAAACATTAAACAAAGTAATTACCTACATAATTAATTTCTCTATGAATTCATACTTCAGCACTGAGTATGTGACCATCCTGAGCCCCAGGGACAGATAAACACTTCACTGCCTCAAATACAACTCACTTATTACTACCAATAACTACATGATTATTATTGCAACATCTTAAAGGGAGACAGTAAAACTGAACAGGCTTTTTTTTTCTCAAGGTGATCTGACAACTTATTTTGGTTCCTGCGTGATCTTATGTATCTAAAAACTGTGGAAAACTGGCTCATAAAGCACCGTTATACTTGAGCTAATGCAGACTTTTATCAACAAACACGGTGCAATCGCATTTAAGAAAAATATAGACTGAAAACTTGCAACAGTTAATTACAGTGAATATCGATTTATGCATGCAATTTCACTACACATTGCAGTTTTAAAAGCAGTAAGCGTCCGCTTTTAAACACCTACTAAACAATCATTCACAAAAACAAATAACATAGTTTTAGCCATTATTATAAAATTAATGGAAATAAAGATAATGGCAAAAATAATGTTAAAGGCAAACTGAAAACGTTTGTATACAGCAGATTCCTCAGCCCACTAGGCATGCTTCAATAACAATGTCAGAAAATGAACTTTGACCTTGAACATGTCCTTGCCTTAACCTAAATAAACGCATCATCCCAGAATCAAAACACATGCTTTACATAAACTCCAGACTTTACATAAAGACCAAAGTCTACCATTTTTGTGATACGATTATCGTAGCCTCACACTACGCCTTCTTGGTCATGATCTTCAGATACTGCAATGCATTGTGGGCTGCGTTGACATGGCATTCATCAGAGGTGGGTCCACTGCCGTGACACACAGCAACTGGCATGGTGGACAGCTGCACCAAACACTGACGATGGCCTGGAAAGAGGCAAATTTACCTTGACAGAGAGAAGATACTGATAGAGAGAACTAGAGGATCAGAGAGGCGATACCGCCTCCAAATATTGTACCACCAGCTGGAGCAAGCGCATTCGTATAGACCCCCACATACACAAAATAAGGGACACAGCCACCAGTCTTTTGCTTGACAAGCTGTAAAAATGCAATCAACAAGAATTTTCAAAATATGCAAAAAAATGTATCAAAAGTTCATCAAAAGGTAGGTCAAAGGTCAATGTCACATTAAGATTGCCAGTATATGACTTCCTATTCAACTTCAAAAGTAACTTTGGACCTATCTCTGCCACTTTGGGAGATAAAAGGGAAGCAAAATTTGCAAAGTTCAGTTCATGGTGAAAAGTAGGTCAAAGGTCAATTTTAAGGTCACATAAAGATTGCCAGTGTATGGCTTCCTATTCAACTTCAACAGTAACTATGGACCTATCTCTGCCAGTTTTGGAGATAAAAGGGAAGCAAAATTTGCAAAGTTCAGTTCATGGTGAAAAGTAGGTCAAAGGTCAATTTTAAGG